AACCTGGACTGCAAGTTGAAGGACTTGGGGCTTACATGGCATTTGTTTGTTTTTGTTTTGGTGCTGAGGTGGAACCCAGGGCCCCACACAGGCTGAGCGTGTGGTTTACCCCTGAGCTGCACCCAACTCTGACATGACCGCTGTGTCCTCCTGGTGGACAGAGAGGCTGAGAGGCCTGAGAGGCTGAGGCCATGCTGCAGGAGTGGCAGGCAGGAACCGCCCTCCCTCCTCGTGCCCAGCGCGCAGAGCTGTCCCCAGCATGCAGAGCTGTACCCCGCAGTACTCACCCATGCCTCCCTCTCTCCCTTGCAGACGGAGCCTGTGGCTGGCAAGGCCACCGAGCAGGGCCAGGCCGGGCCCTGCCCGCAAGGACGCCCAAACCCTTCACCGGCCCCCAAGCCACAGAGCCCACCAGGCTCTCCTGCTGGCCCCACCATGACATCGGAGCCCACGTCGCCTCCTGTGGTGCCCCCACTCCACTCCCCCAAGTCCCCTGTCTGGCCTACCTTCCCTTTCCACAGGGAGGGCAGCAGGGTCTGGGAACGGGGCGGAGTCCCTTCTCGGGACCTGCCCAGCCCTCTGCCGACCAAACGGACGAGGACATATTCAGCGTGAGTACTGGCTCCTGGCTCAGTCTCTGGTCTTCCCTCAGGACGGGGCTGACCCCACCCATTCCCATCCTCTATCACCCACTGTCCTCACCTGAGGACGGAGAAGCTGTGTTTGGAGCTTCCAGTAACTTCCATGTTTATTCCTTCATCCCACAAAAATGTGCTGAGCTCCTGACCAGGGACCCAGAGATGAGTGAGACAAGAGCCCCATTCGCAGTTGCTCCTAGTCTAGGGGCCCTGTCCCCCACCATCGACGCCTGGCAGGGATGGGCAAGGAGAACCCAGGCCCAGGGCCGAGGGCATGCTCACAGGGTTGGGAAGGTGTACCTGGTGAAGAAGGGCTCCGGTGGTCCGGGAAGGCGGAGCCGCACGGGGCTTGCCTTTCGGGAGGGGTGGGCAGGCTGGCCCTGTGGAGCAGGTCACTGGATGAGGCCATGAGGGTCGCAGTGGGGGGTTATGAGACCCACAGGGACACAGACTTGGCTTGGCCAAAGGGTGTTTTCCGCTTGTTTGTTTTCTGTGGCAATGTTGACTGTCCTGTGTCAGACCCAAGTCCGGGCACAGAGCCGATGCTTAGCAAATGGCAAGTGAAAATGAGTGAGGAATGCGTGGGTGACAGCAGCTTCAGGAGCGCGAGTTCCCTCGTGGGGAGGTACTCAAGCCCGGGCTGGACGTTCTTCATCAGGATTCTTATAACAGGAACCCATTTAAGCCCAAACAAGGAGGGGAGGGTGCTGTGTAGACAGGGGGCACTGGCAAGGAGTCAGGAGACCCTCTTGCTGTGCTACCCTGGGAGAGTCAGTTTCCCTCTCTGGGTCTCAGTCAAATGGGGGGGTGTCAAATGGGAATGATGTGAAGTTGAATGAGCAGCATTCTGTTTTCCCACAGCCCTGAGGCCAGCTTCACAGGCAGGGCCCAGGGAGGGTGGGGTTCCAGAGGGGTCTCCCCAGGCCGCAGCTCCAATCCCCCTACCCTATCCCCAGGACAGCCCGGGCCTCGGCCGGCCCTGTGTTCAAGGGCGTCTGTAAGCAGTTCTCACGCTCGCAGGGCCATGGCTTCATCACCCCCGAGAACGGATCGGAGGACATCTTCGTGCATGTATCTGAGTGAGTTCCCTTCACCTCCTTGTTCCTGGCTCAGAGGGGCCTCTCCAGCTTCCCCCTAGGCTGGCAAGGTCTGTGTCCCTCTTGGGTGGGGCTGGGGGTGTGTGGAAGGAGCCCTCAGAGCTCCGGGAGCCCTGGGAGCCTGTTGCAGCCTTGTGGGGACCTGAGGGGCTGGACCAGCTCCCGGGCCTCAGCCGGGAAGGGCCTTTGGTAGGTAATGATGGGGAGAGGTGGGTCTCGGCCTGTCCGCACTCACCCTAATGCCAGGCATGATGGAGGATCTCGGAGACCCACCCTGTGATCTTTCACCCTCAACTCCCAGAGAAGGAACTATGTCTGATTCCCGTTTCACAGAGAGAGAGAGACGAGGCTTTGCTAGGCGATTGGCCCAGGCTCCCTGGCCTCTCTAGGCTGGGGACAGGCTGCCTTGTACCCAGGCCACAGTGGCATCCGGAGAGGGGCCTGCTCTTGGGCTGACGCCCCTCTCCTATTTACCAGCATTGAGGGAGAGTATGTGCCCGTGGAAGGCGACGAGGTGACCTACAAGATGTGCCCCATCCCACCCAAGAACCAGAAGTTCCAGGCCGTGGAGGTGGTGCTCACCCAGCTGGCCCCCCACACCCCCCATGAGACGTGGTCTGGCCAGGTCGTGGGCTCCTAGGCAGGAGCAGCCACACCGGGAAGGCGGGCAGCAGCGGGCCCTGTGCCCCCACAGTGCTGCTGACCAGCCCCGGGCGGCCTCAGTGTGCACGTCCATCTGTCTGTCTGTGCTCGTGGCCGTGAGTGTGTGCCTCTACCCACCCGTGACCCGTGACTGTTGTGTGAGCCAGCCAGGAGCCGGACGGAGGGGAGGCTGCCAGCCCTGCCCCTCCTCCCTCCTCCCTGCAGCACACACCCAACCCTGCTGCCCCCCGTCCGCTGTTCACATGTTGACTGAGCTTCTGTGAGCCTGCGTCAGGCTCACAGGGACTCGGGGACCCCTCTCTTAAGAGCTTGCTCCCCTCACTGCTGCCCGCAGCCCTGCTGGGCCCCAGCCCTGGTCCTGGGCAGACCCTGCTTGTGCTCCTGCCTCCTGCCCTGGGCTGGGGTCTCTGCCCTGGCCTGGCCCCTTTCCCTCAAAAGCCAGGCGGGTGAGTGCTTTCAGGGAGCCTCTAGCTCCAGCAGGGGGAGAGGAGCCTCCAGAAAGGGGTTCTTGTTTCACTGGCCAGGCCCCCCTCGGCCTGGCAGTGGCTCTGAGCCCACTGAGGCTGTGCTCCTTCCCTCAAGGCAAGGAGTGGGGACACAGCTCCTCAGCTTGGATGGAGCCATCCCCTCTACTCTGACTCCCAAACTCTGTAGATGCTCAGCCCTGGGCCCAGCCATGACAGCTGCTGAGGATGTGCTGATGGACTGACGTGTCCCCTCAGGCCAGGCCTGGCCAGGCCCCGAAAGATGGCCCTCAGCCTGGGAGACCATGGGCCTTACAAACCCAGGCCAGAACCCCTTCCCACAGGTCCCTGTCAGGCCCCTAGCCAAGGTGGTCCTCATCCTGTCCAGGCTTGGAGTCCCTATGGGACTAAGATTGTGTGTCTGTCAGAGGTGGCCTGGCCTAAGACATCAGGCAGGGCCCTGCCCACCACACCTCCTTCTAGAGAGCGCATACAGAAAGTGGTATAAAAGGGGTCACAGGCTCAAGGGAGGGCCCGCCAGGACAGTGGCTGTTACGAGACCCACTCTGCAAATAAAACTGGGGGCTCGAATACCCAGATGAGGGGATCAGTAACTGGCTGAGTGGCCGTGTAGGTGCCTAAAACCCAGGTGGGAGATCAGCGGGACATCTGCTTCTCACCCCTGCCCGGTGCCCACTCTACAGAGGCAGGGAGTCCAGAGCTGCTGGGGGCGCTGGCCAGCCCCAACAGTGGGCAGGGCCAGCCTGACACCCCCTCTGAGCTAGGCTTCTCTGGCAAGGCCTGTCCCTGAGGGATGAGGACCTGTGGCCCTCTTGGCTGAGGGCCTGTTGGTACAGGACTCCTTGCCTGCCAGCTTCCCTCCTGTAAGCAGACCCCCTTTCTAGGTGCCCTGGGGAGCAGTGGGCAGCAGCTCTCCTCCCCATTCTTGGGTCCTCCAGGCCCCAGTCAGAAGTCCTCCCAAGACCCCAGCCACGGACTCCCCATCCTTCCTAACACTGGCAATAAACTCTCGACTGTGACCTACACCGGCCCAGAGCTGCCTTTGTCCTGCAGGTTCCCTGGGGAAGGACGCACCAAACTAGCCCTTTTGGGGCTTCAGTGTATCACACTTCCTGGGTGACCCATGCAGGTCCCAGTCCCTGTTTCCGCATCTGCAAAGTGGTGGCTATAAAGCATTGACTGGAGCCAGACATCCCCTCACACGCGTCTGACACCACACCTCATCCTGGGAATTTTAATGTATGTGACAAAGTTCTCTGAGATGTGCCCTCCCAACACTCTGCCCCTCCTCTGGTCAGGGCAGGACCAGGTGGATCCTTATCCTCCTCTAGCACGCGCCTCCTCCTGGGTGGAGGGAGACCTGCTTGGTTCAGAAGTATGAGCAGCAGCTGTGGCCAGAGTCACCAAAGTGCAAGATGGGGATACTCTGGGCACAAGGAGGACAGGAGCCAGTCTCTCCAGGAGCTGACTGGCTGGGGACCGTGGGCCTCGCAGGAGGTCCTGGGCCAGAGAAGGAAGGGCCCTGGCCTCAACAAGGCCAGGCTCTCTTCCCACCTGGGCAGGCTCAGTGGACGCCGAGATGCACAGGTGTGGGCCAGTCAGGCCTCGTGGGCTGTCTCTGGGAAGAAGATCTCTCTGCATCTCCGCACTGTGTCCTGAGGGGAGACCACGCTGTGGCCAACGGTCCGGGGATCAGCATAGATCTCAAAGTCATTCCCGCCCTGCACACAGGGAAGGACAAAGGAGACCCTGAGGTGGTGCCTGGAGGAGGAGCTTCCCTCCCCACAGGAGCTGCCCCTCCCCTCACAATCCCAGGCCAGACCCCAGGAGGAGCCACCAGGAAGTCTATGTTCACAGCCCTGTCAGCCCTGCCCTGACTTGTGTGACGGGTAACAAGTGTCCAGCCCAATTTGGGTCCTAGGCGCCCAATCTGCCTAATGGGGTTAGTGAGCATGGGCGGTCCTCCAGGAGCCCCCCCAAGAGGTCTGCTCTGTTGCCCTGAGTCCTGGCCTGGACCTCCAGTGTTTGGGTTGTGGGGAACCTGAGTGGGCTGCACTCACAGGGCTAGTCTCGTTCCCAAAGAAATGAATGGTGTCAAAGCTGTCCTGGTCCAGGCTGTCCAGACAGTAGCGCTTGTCCCAGCCCTCAGGGAAGACATCAAAGCTGATCATGCCTCCTGTGGGGCAGACAAGGGGGCATGCTTAGTGCCGGACTCAGGATCTTCAAGGACAGTCTGATTCAGGTGCAAACGGATGAGGCCCTTAGAGGATGAGGCCCTTAGAGCGCTGGGGGAGCCTCCCCCAGCCAGCATGGCCCGGTGGGACGTCTGGGGGATGAGCGCAGTGCCCAAGGCAGGGAGAGGCGAGGAGTGGCCCAGAAACACTCAGGCTCAGAGAGCAGGAACAAGTTGTGGCCTGGGCTCCAGGTGAGGCCCTGGGTTGTGTCTGGAGGAAGGAGGAGCCCGGGGGCCCTGTGATCAGCACAGGCTTTAACTGAGCCTGGCAGCTGGTCTCGCCCTTGGCCACTGGGTGAGGGGGAGTTTGTGGTCAGGGATCAGTTGTGTCAGCCACGTGGCCGTCCGGATGCGCTGCCAGTGGTGGGGGGGAGCGGGTGGGTCCAGAGGCCTCTGCCTTGGCCCTGGGACGTGCAAGCAGACTGAGCCCAGGAGGCATGAGGAAGAAAGCTCAGCTCCCGGCGTGGGGCATTTGCCTGGGCAGGGGGTGCTGGGCCCTGGCAAATACTAAACCCCTGCCTGCTTGGAGCTCAGTGTGCCTTGTGCCCTGAGGGGTGGGCTCCTGGGCCAGGCCTCTCAGGTCCACTGTGGGATGGACATACCTCGGGAGAACCTCAATCCCTTGCCGGCAAACTCTGTCTTCAGGGCTTCCACAAACTTCTCTCGGATCTTCTCCTTCTGCAGAGGGAAGGGTGCAGACAGAAGCTCAGGAGGCCCAGCCCTATGCTAGGCCCTGTCCACACAAGCTCACTGGTCCTCTAGGTGGGTCTGACCCTCACATTACAAATGAGGAAACAGAGGTTCAGAGAGGGACTCTGCCTTGTTCAATCAAGGTGCCCAGCCATAGTGGCAGAGCCAGGGCCTGATCTGGAAGGTCCTCGAAATGAACCTGGCCAGATACCTGTCCATGGGTGTGGATGGGGTATTTTGAAAGAGGCCTGCAAGCAGAGGTGGGAGGAGGAAGGCCCCAGGGACAGGCAGCCCAAGTCCTCGTCACATGTCCACCTTAGGGCACAGTTCAGACCCATCAGCTCTGCCCAAGATAACAGCAAACTGTGGCTCAGGCACCAGAAATGAGTGTGAGAGGCCAAGGGCAGAAGACCATGACCAAGCAGCAGCAGGTCCCAGCACTGGTGTGGTATAGGACGCTGATGTGGCCTCGGCAGTGGACCCATTCATTGGGCATGTTCTGTGGGCTGGGCTGGGCGATTCAGCAGGACCCAGGAGAGCCCCCACCCCCGCCCCTGCCCCTCTGAGCAGCACCTTGATGCGTGGAGCAGGGAACTGTCGCTCTGGGCCTGACCCTGCTGAGACCATGGCGGGCATGGCAGGCCAGGCCTGGGGGGGCCACGGAACACACAAGCCTGGCCACACATCTTGGCTTCTGGGCTGGGGGGGGCACGGGAACAAATGGAAAGGAAGCAGCACTGAGCTCTATGGGACATTCAGCTCGCAGAGGACTGGCTTGAGAGATTTGGAATCATTCTGGGGGGCCAGGGACCACTGAGGATTTCAGGGCAAGGGAGAAGAGTGACTAGCACCACCTTGAACAGACTGGGTAGGGCTGGAACACAGAGGCAGGTGGTGTGGTACCTGGAGAGGTAGCCCTGGATGCCACAAGATAAGGGCATATAGGACTCCACCCGAGACCTAAGGACAGGCTGCCAGGGCTCCAGGCTTGCCAGCTGTGCTGTGTGGCCGTGGGCAGGTCATCGAAGTCTCTGAGCCTATTTTCTTGGTTAAGCATGGGGAAATGATTAATGAAGAGGGTGCTTCCCTCTTCTGGGAAAACAGATATGAGGGATGGGACACCTGCTGGCTCTGGCTCTGCCTCTGCCTTCCCAGTGGTTGTGTGGGCCCCAGGGAGGCCAGAGGCCCTCCAGAGGCCCTTAACTACTCCAACCAGAAAGATCCCTGTGGCTGTGGCCATGCCTACAGAAAGCCTCCAACACAGGGTAGGAGTCCTGTCACTGAGCCCCTCCCCTCTCAGGGAAGCACCAGTGGGCAGCGGGCTGCATCAATCTTCACTCTGCAGCCCACGGCCTAGGTGGCCCTGGGTATGTCATTTCCCCTCTGGCCTTCATTTTCACGTTCATAAAATGGAATTAATGCCACTTGTTTCATAGATTCAATCAAAGGCATTCCCTAGGCTGGGTATGGCTCAGCGTCGAGCGCTGGCCTGGCATGCACGAGGCCTGCGCTCAACCCCAGCACCGCAAAAAGACAAAAAGTACTTCTGGGCACTTGCTGTGTATGAGGCACACAGGACCCATCAGCCAACAAGTCACACAAGTCTGTGGAGATGACGGTTTTGGTGAGAGCTGATGGAGGAACTGAGATCTTAAAAGTAGACAGTGTGGGGGGTCAGAGGGCAGCGGTGGATGCTGGGGAAGCTAAGACAGGGCAGCGGTGCAGGACTGACAGAGGTGCGGTGTGAATGTGAAGCTTGGGAGGGCCACCAGAAGGTGACATGTGAGCAGAGCTGAGGAGGTGAGCGGATGAGCTGGTGGGGGCTGAGTCTGCACCCTGGGAAACTGTCTGCTAAAGCAAGGAGGCCATGGCTGCAGCAGGGGGCAGAGGGGAGGGCAGCCAGCTGGTGAGAGAGGGCACGCACAGGGCGATGGGAACGCATCAGGGAAGATGCCCACCATCCTGAGAGGGCATGGTGGACGGGGCAGATTCACACCCAATGCGGAGAGGAGGCTGAAGAGGAGCAGGAGCCGGCAGAGCCCTCAGGGCTGGAGAGGGGCTGGGGAGCCTGGGAAGGACTGCCAGCAGGGGCTGGGGGTGACGACATGTGTAACAGATTGTCAAGGGCACTGCTGGAGAGCAGACCGGGCTGAGGGGGCAGGATTGGGGGCAGCCTGGGGAACAAGACAGTAGTCTGGGGAGTAGGGTGTTGGCCTGCAGCTGAGCAGACTTGAGGCTGGTTCCGGAGGCTGAAGGAACAGGAGTTGTTGGATCCTGGACCCTATGGGATGGGAAGATGCTTATACTGCACCGTCCCGTTCTCAGCAAACACATAATCAAACTTCTCAACCCTAGGTGTTGGCTTGGGGAAGGAGGTAGCTGGGGTGCAGGTCATGAAGAAGGGAAACCAGCAAAAGAAGGGGCCCATAGCAGTGATACATGGCTACCAAAAGATGCTGGTTCAGCCGGGGCCACCCCTGACCCCACAGTTCACATTAATGAGAGAAAATAAAGGCTCAGAGAGGTTGAAAGACCCCAGTCCTACAGGCCTGCACTGGCATAGTGGGTGGCACCTTGTCCAGTTCAGAGAACTCGATCCTCTCCTCCAGGGTGCAGCTGCGACCAATGGGCGAGATGTTCAGCATGCCATTCCGGAACTCGATGAAGGTTCCGCTGGTGGTGAGGAAGGCCCGGGAAAGGAGGGCGGGAGCCAGGGAGAATGAGAACCAGGGAGAATGAGTACAGTCTCCCTGACTTCACAGGGGACAAGAATCACCCACTGCTAAGTCAGGAGCCCAGGGCTGGGGTGCAGCTCTGTGGTAGGGTGCTTGCTAGCATGCTCCAGCCCTGGGTCCATGCTAGCATCACCACGGGGGGTGGGAGGCCAGGGAACTGAGTCCAGGTTCCATCTGGGAGACCCACACTTTTCCTCCCTTAAGTCCCAAGTTCTGGAGCCAGGCCAGATGGGACCTCACCGCTTCTTGGGCAGTCTGAGCAGGGCCATGTAGCTGAGGCAGAAGTTGATCAAGTCCTGTAGGAGTTCTTCTCCCAGGTGGTTCTGGATGGTCTGGACAAGGAACACAGGCTCTCAGATGTGGCAGAGATCTCTCCCCAGCCCAGAAGGTACCTGTGCAACGTCCCAGTGGGGAAAAGTGGGGTACTGATGGCTAGGTCCTGGGGGGTGCTGACCTGCTTGGAGAGCAGCCGTCCATGCTTATACTGCACCGTCCCGTTCTCAGCAAACACATAATCAAACTTCTCAATGACTTCAGGGCCACACAGAAGCCAGGGAGAAAGAGAGAGCATGAGATCAGCACGCGCTTTACCCCGAGCAAGCAGAGCAGAGGAAGCCTGCATTCCTTGATTTGGCCTTCAGAGCCCATGAGTTCCATCCTGAACCTGCTTCTCCAGCCCTCCTCTCCTTCCACAGCTTTTCCTTTCCCATGAGCCAATCACTCCTCCAGCTCTTTGTATGTTCCCCCTAAGGTCCTCTGCTTATCCTTCAAGATCCAGCTCTTTCCTCTGGAAGCCTTCTAGGACTCCCAGCAGGGGGCGCCATTTCCACTCTGTGCTCCCACAGCCCCACAGTAGAGGAGACTCCCCTTCTGGGCTTTCCTGTTCCCTGGGCTGACTGCCTTGGGGAGTTTTCAGCTCTCGCTGCCCACAGAAGCTGCTGGGGTGGGTGAGCTGGGCTGCAGAGGGAGCAGGGCCAGGATGCTGCAGCAGGGTTTGGGGGCGGTGATCACCTGGACTATGGTGGGGTGCTGGAAATGGAGACGTAGACAGGAGAGGGAGATCATTTTGGACACACTGGTGGAAAAAAAAGGGGATGTGGGGAAAAGGAAAATTCAAGGAAGTTTCTGGTTTAAGGAACTAGAGGTTATCAGCTGCCACTTAGCTGAAGTAAAGGCTCTGGGATCCAAATCACTTCCTGGGAGACTTAGTCCACTGTTAGAAATGGCATGATCTCTCTACTCTGGCCAGGATTACCTGAGAGCTTTAACACCTGGTCATCTATCTTGCTTTGCTTTGCTTCCCTTCCCCACTTCCTTCCTTCCTCCCTCCCTCCTCCCCCCCCCCACTGGTATTTAATCCAGTGGTGCTTTACCATTGACTTACAGCCCCAGCTCCTTTTATTTATTTTGAGACAGGGTCTTATTAAGTTGCTTAGGTCCTCACTAACTTTCTGAGGCTAGCCTGGAACTTGAGATCCTCCTGCCTCAGCCTCTCATGGCTGGGATTACAGGTCTAAGCTACTGTGCTCTGCAACATCTGGTAATTTTCAACAAATCATAGCCACTATTGATTATGTCCATTTTTTTAAAGCCCAGGACCAGATGAATTCTCATCTGAATTCTACCAGACTTTTTTTTTTAATATTTATTTTTTAGGTGTAGATGGACACAACACAATGCCTTTATTTCTAGGTGGTGCTAAGGATCCAACGAGTCCCGCCCATGCTAGGCGAGAGCTCTACTGCTGAGCCACAATCCCAGCCCCATAATGCCCATTTTAAAGAGGAGGAAATCTAGATTCAACAGGGAGTCATGAGAAAGTAAACTGCAGAAGGTCAGGATTTGGTCAGCCTTGTTCCCAGCACCTGCCTGGCCACTGGCTTACTCAGTGCTTGTTGACTCAGTAAGGGGGCATCTGGCTGCTGCTTCTCTATCTCTTTTGCCCCACAGAAGCAGTACAAGGTCTTTGGGGTGCCCAGGAACATCCTGACTCCCCAGCTCCCTGTTCCCTCCACCCTCACCACTGGAACAGGCTCCAGCCCACTCCTACCTTCATCCCCATCTCCCAGCTGCTCAGCAATCTTGGAGTAATCGGAGCCGCCCACCACTCCAATCTGCACCCGACTGCGCAGCTTCTGCAGGAAAGCTGATACCTCAGGGTCAATTTTCTGCAGTGGGGAAGGAGGAAGAGAAGGATTTTGACTCAGTAGACAGGGACCTCCACTTAGCCCCCGCTTAGTGCTCAGAATCAGGGAGCTCACTTTCTACCTGATGTTAGTCACTAGGCGCTGAGCATCATAATCTGAAAATCAGAAATGATCCAAAACTCAAAACTTTTTGCTCACTGACATTATACCACAAATGGAAAATTCTATTCTTCACTTAATCTGATGGGTCACAGAAGCACACTAAAAATATTATATGTTGACCCAGTTATCCCGCTGCTCAGTATATACCCTAGCACTTAGAATCAGCATACCACAGTGATACACCCACATCAATGTTTATAGCAGCTCAATTCATAATAGCTAAGCTATGGAACCAACCTAGGTGCCCTTCAACAGAGAATGGATTAATTAAATGTGGTACATATACACAATAGAATATTACTCAGCCACAAAAAAGAATGACTTTATGACTTTTGCTGGTAAGTGGATGGATCTGGAGACTATCATATTAAGTGAAATAAGCCAATCCCCAAAAACCAAAGGCCCAGGGCTGGGGATACAGCTTAGCTGGTAGAGTACTTGCCTTGCATGCACTAGGCCCTGGGTTCTATCCTCAGCAGCACATAAAAAACAAAAACAAAAACAAAAAAACAACAACAAAGGCCCAATGTTCTCTCTGATACTCTGATACATCTCTGATGCTAATTCCAAACAAGGGGGAAGGGAGGGAATAGAAGTTCACTGGATTGGACAAAGGGAAATGAAAGGGAGGGAGGATGGGAATAGGAAAAACAGTATAATGGGGGCTGGGGATGTGGCTCAAGCGGTAGCGCGCTCGCCTGGCATGCGTGCGGCCCGGGTTCGATCCTCAGCACCACATACCAACAAAGATGTTGTGTCTGCCAAAAACTAAAAAAAAAAAAAAAATTAATATTAAAATTCTCTCTCTCTCTCTAAAAAAAAAAAACAACAGTATAATGAATCAGACATAACTTTTCTGTTTTCATATATGACTATACCACTGGTGAAACTCCACATCATGTACAACCACAAGAATGGGATCCTAATTAGAATAAGTTATACTCCTTGTATGTATAACATGTAAAAATACACTCTACTCTCATGTACATATCTAAAAAAGAAAAAAAAATTAAAATTGTATAAAATAGGGCCAGGGTATAGCTCAGTGGCACAGCACTTGTCTACCATTCATGAGGCCCTGGGTTTGATGCCCAGCACCAAAAAATAAAAAAAGATAAAAAGGAAAAGTATCACATTGCCTTCAGGCTACGTGGTAATGTGTATAAGATGTGTGTATACTGTTTCCAGTAGTGGGGATTTGACCCAGGGGCACTCTACCACTAAGCTACAATTAAACCCCATTTTTAAACATTTTGAGGCATTGCTAAGTTGCCCTGGATGGCCTTGAACTTGTGATCCTCTTGCTTGGGTCTCCTGAGTAGCTGGGATCATGGGTGAGCGACATCCCACTCAGCTGTATAAGGTATATGTGAAACATGAATGAATTTTGTGTTTAGCCCTATGTCCTAGCCCCAAAATATCTTGTTGTCTCATTATGTATGTGCAAATATTAAAAAATATGAAAAAATCCCAAATATCTCCAGTCCCAAGTATTTTGGATAAGGGATACTCACTTGTCCCTCACTTGTTTTGATGTCTAAAACTAAATGTACCTTAATTCAAACTCTGACTCAAGTCCCTAACAACAGGATGACCTTGAGCAAATGGCTTTGTCTTTCTTTCCCTCAATGTCTCTTCTGTTAGATGGGTACATAGTAGTAACCATATACAGGGGCAGCTGTTAGAATTAAATGGGATAATGTATCCAAAGGACTTGGAAATGAAAAACAATGAACTGGTGACTGATGATGTGAAAAGATTCTCCTAATGAAATGTTAGTGAGTTATAAACTGAATTTTCATCCATTTAAATATACAAAAATGACAACATCTAAAGTGGGTGACAATGCAGGGAAATAGGCACTCTTGGATACTGTTGGGGGGAATGCAAACTGGTATAGCTGTTTTGGAAGGTAATTTAGCAGGATCTATTAAACTTAAAATGCATATACCCCATCACCTGGAATTTCCACTTCTCTTGCCCAGGTATATACAGAGGTTCATAAGGGGTATATTTATAATATTTATAATAGTGAAAAAACTGCAAGCAACTTACATGCTTGTCAACAGGAGAATGACACATACCTACTCTACTGCAGGTACTCAGGTAAGGCAGGCCTGTGCTTCAATATAATAGGATCCCAAGACACAATGTTAACTACCAAAAGCAAGTCACAGGAAGGCACATATAGTATAATGCCACTTAATTAAAAATAGCCTTACAAAACAATGCCTAATATTTTCACTGGGCAAATAGTTCCAGACAAAGGTCTGGAAAGAAGCCACCCAAGCAACTTTGGGGAGGGGGCTGAGCCCCTTCCTTGTGGGTTCGGAGAGGACTTTAGCCTTCCCTATTATATTATTTTCATTCTTTACAAAAATGAATGTGTCCTGTGAACACATGTATAATTGCAAATTTACTTCTGAAAAACGCAAAGCACAGGGCCTGCAGTGGACAATAAACAGGCAGTCCTTTTTCAGGCTGTTGTGATACAGCAAAGGGTGGGGGGAGGTGTGCCTAGGCCCCACCACCCTCCCTCCAGGCTGCCTCTGGCTCCAGGATCCACACCCAGAAAGGGGGCTGATCCCTTTCCAAAACCCCATCCCCAGCCAAGGCAACTTGGCTAAAGGGGAGGGGAGGGGCCTTGGGAGGCTAAGACCTGGGTTCCTAACAGCCTCTGCCCAGAAACACATCCCCACCACTCCTGCTACGGGAGGAACCTCCGGTGGCTCTTGGGGCCCTCATGCTGGAGGGTGGAATACCCACAGGGTGGGCAGGAGTGAAGCCTGCTTATTCATGCATCCAGCTGGTGAGGGTGGGTCTGAGGACTCGCCCACGATGAGAGCAAAGGGAGAAAACTGGGTGCGGTGCAGAGGTCGGAGGATGGCCCCACGGGTTGATTCGGAAGGAGAACTTCACTTCCATTCTCACTGTGCCTCAGTATCTCCATTGTAACCAACTCCAGGTTTATGGAGCCCCGGAAAAAGGAAAGCAGCCCTCTCCGCTCCATGACACGAGTGGAAGGTGGGCGGGTGGGGGCTTGAGAAACTAAACGCAGCCTCAGACCTGCAAACTCAGGGGCGGGAGGGCTCCGAGAGCCTCTTGCCCCCACCAGAGCGCGACGCTGACATTTCCGCGCGCGCCAGGTCCTGCTGGGACCGTGGCTTCAGATGCCAGCTTCGACTACTGTGCATCCTAGGGCTGAGACGGGGTGGGAGCCCCGGAGCCAGGCCTCGCCTTACGGAACCCTCCCGGGGAAAGAGCCGGGCCCCCACCCACAGCCCCCTCCCTCCAGGACTGGAACTAGCCCCAGCGCTCCCGAGAAGGTCAGGGCGCAGACGCCCGGAAGGCTGGGGCACGGGGTACCAAGGTCCCCTTCACCAAGGGAGCTCGGCCCCAGGAGGGCAAGGGCGGGAACCGCTGCATCCCACACCGGGACCGGGAGTGTCCGCGGTCACGCCGCCGCAGGCCCCATGCTTGCCCTCGCGGGTCCGCGTGACACTCCGGGCCGGGGATTCGGAACGTCGGGGCGCTACCTGGCGAGCCGGCGTGAGGGTCCCGTCCACGTCAAACAAGCAGAGGACGCGCTCTTTCCTTCGGGCGCCCTCGGCGGTGACAGCCATGGCTGCAGCTCCGCGCGCCGGGCGGAGTCACTGGATGCGGCCGCCCAGATCGCGCCGGGCGGAGGCTGGACGGGGCGGGGCCGGGAGCCCGCCAGGCGGCGCCGCGCGGAGGGGGCGGGGCCAGGGCGGGCCGGACGGGGGCGGGGTCTGGGCCCGCCGAAAGGAGGCTGGAGCGCTCTGGCGGGGGCGTGGCACAGCGTCCCGCCGGCCGGAGGCGGGGCCTGAGCCTGCGCGCCGAAACGGGTCTGTGGCGACGGCTGCGGAGGGACCGGGAAGGGCGGAGCAAGGCCCCGCTGGGCAGGTCGTCTTGCCCTCGCCGCTGCCAAGATTTCCAGGGCAGTCCCTTTGCCCTACAAGGCTTGAACTGTAAATCTCCTCATGGCTCAGGCTTTGGACTTTGTCTGACAGCCTTCCTGATGTCATTCGGTGCACTCCTAAGGCCCAGCTCTTTGTCTACCTCCGTGAAGTACCCTGTCCAAACTGGGCGCGGTGGCGCTCGCCTGCAATCCCAGCTGTTTAGCAGGTGGAGGCAGGAGGAGCGCAAATTCAAAGCCAGTCATAGCAATTTAGCGAGGCCCTGTCTCAAAAAAGGACTCTGGGTGTGGCTTATATCTTAAAGGCCCACCCCCCCAAAAGAAGCCTGCCCAGATCCCACTTTTTTTGGGGGGCGGACTAGGGATTGAACCCAAGGGTGCTTTACCACTGAACTACATCGTCAGCCCTTTATATATATTTTTTATTTTGAGACAGGGTATCTCTGAGTTGCTTAGAGCCTTGCTAAACTGATGAGGCTGGCCTCGAATTTGTGATATTCTGCCTCAGTCTCCCTAGTCGCTGGAATTACAGGCAAGCACTGTTGATCCTTGCTTTGCTGTTTTATATATTTCTATCTCCCTATTCTTACCTGAGAAGGAAAGTAACTTTGAAGTGACTAACCTGTTTTTTGTTTCTGCTTTCTTGGGCTCTTCCCTGTCTGTAAAACCAACCTACTGCCAAGCATGGTGCCCATGCCTGTAAACCCAGGGACACCTGAGGCAGGAGGATCCTAAATTTGAGGTCAGCCTGGGCAACTAAGTGAGACCCTGTCTCAAAATAAAGCATAAAATGGGCTGGGAATATAGCTCAGAGATAGAGTGCCCCTGGGCTCAATCCCCAGTAGTGCAAAAAATAAGAAATATAAAGAAACTGGGCTGGGGTTGTGGTTCAGTGGTAGAGCGCTTGCCAAGCAAGTGTGAGGCACTGAGTTCCATCCTCAACACTACATAAAAAATAAACAGTAAAATAAAATAAAGGTATTGTGTGTGTGTGTGTGTGTGTGTGTATATATATATATATATATATATATATATAATACATATATCTATATATATATATATATCCCAAACCTCTTCTGCTCAGCTCAGTGGGAACCCTTGCTCTATTTTATGGAATGAAGTGTTGCCCAATTATTATTAGTTGGAGTAGCAGTAGTACCAGGGATTGAAACCAGGGGCACTTAACCATTGAGCCACATCTCCAGCCCTCTTTTTCCACCCCCAACTTTGTTTTATTCTTATTTTTTTAAATTCTGTAGTTGTAGATGGACAGAATGCTGCTTTTGTTTATTTTTATGTGATGCTGATGATCGAACCCAGTGCCTCACACATGCTAGGCAAATGCTTTACCACTGAGCTATAGCCCCAGTCCCCCAACCTTTTTTTAATATTTATTTTTTAGTTGTATGTGGACACAATATCTTTATTTCATTTTTATGTAGTGCCTCATGTGTGCTAGGCAAGCGCTCTACCACTGACCCACAACCCCAGTCCCTCCCCCAGCCCCTTTTATTTTTTTTTTATTTTTTTTTTTTTACATATTTATTTATTTAGTTAGTTATTGGCAGACACAACATCTTTGTTGGTATGTGGTGCTGAGGATCGAACCCAGGCCACACGCATGCCAGACGAGCGTGCTACCGCTTGAGCCACATCCCCAGCCCCTTATTTTTTGTTTTGAGACAGGGTCTTGCTAAACTGCTTAGGTTCTCAGATGAGGCTGACCTTGAACTTGTGATCCTCCTGCCTCAGCCTCCTGAGCCACTGGATGGGCCCCTGTGCCCAACAAGTATTGCCCAATTCTAAAATAGAAAATGAGACCCACTTAGACCCTCAAAATTACTTGTTGTAATTCTGTTCTTGACAGCAGTTTGGGTCATATACACCCACATACTTATGAAGGGCACTGCTGCTCACAGTTCTTTTGGTAGGCCTGGTTCTTTTTCTGTCCGGTAGTAGTGGTTTCCTGCAGAGATCATCAGAGTCAGAGTTTGGAGAATTGCAGTTTGGTTCCAGCTAACTTTAAGGATGTGGACAGGTCATCATACCTTGCTGGGCCTCAGGTTTTTCATTTATGTAATGGGGATGTAAACCCCACCTGACAGGAGTATGAAAGGTGAGATAGTAAAAACTGATATTTACCCATTCTTTGGCATGGGGCAGCCAGCATACTGGATGCTTGACCACATATTTTCACTTGCTGTGGGAGCAAGTCTAGGAGGTGCTAATTCCTCCACCTGCTGAAGAGAGAGGGGTGTGCCTGACACTTCACAGAGCACCCAGCAGCAGCAGTTCAGCCAGGTGGAGTCAGAAAAGGTAAGGGAAGTACTTACTGCAGGTGCTATTTTTTTAAAAAAATATTTATTTTTTAGTTGTAGTTGGACAAAATACCTTTATTTATTTATTTATTTATTTATTTTTATGTGGGGCTGAGGATCGAACCCAGGGCCTTGACATGCTAGGTGAGTGTTCCACCGCTGAGCCACAACCCCAACCCTGCAGGTGCGAATTTTAAGAGGCATCAAAAGTTCTGTAATCAAGCTGGGCTCAGTGGTACAGGCCTGTAATCCCAGCTACTCAGGAGGCTGAGGCAGGAGGACCTCAAGGTCAGGCCAATGTCAGTAACTTAGCAAGATCCTGTCTCAAATTTAAACAACAATTTTAAAAATCACAGAGGATGTAAAACACTTGCTTAGCATGTGTAAGGCTGTGGGTTCTATCCCTGGAACTAAAAAAAAAAAAAAAAAAATTCAGTAGTCACTGGGATTACAGGTGTGCACCACTTGCCTGGGTGTCAAGATAATATTTTAATGTAATATATATTTTTTTCATCTGTGAACAAAGTATGAAAAAAAATTAAAGACAGGATCAGTGGTGGAATATGCTGAGAGGCCATGTTGGAGTCAGAGGTCAAAGGAAAAGTCAGTCTTTTTCCAGGCCCTGGTGGCAGAGTTTGATTCTTTAACAATATGTTGTGCCTGACACCCTTCTGGGTCCTAGGAACACTGCCGGGAACAAATTAAGGGTCTCACCTCCCAGGGGCTTTTGTATGTGCTGTTAATGTGGACAGCTAGGGCTGGGGATGTGGCTCGAGCGGTGGTGCGCTTGCCTGGCATGCGTGCGGCCCGGGTTTGATCCTCAGTACCACATACAAACAAAGATGTCGTGTCTGCTGAAAACTAAAAAATAAATATTAAAAAAAAAATGTGGACAGCTAACTATTTTATTTTTGTTATGCTGAAAAGCATGTGGTCTATCCCTCAGCTATACACCCAGCCCTGCTCTGTCCTGACCTGCTCTGAGTTGGTTCTGGCAGGGCCTGTCTAGTGCCTGTGGATGGGACTGGAATTACCCAGATTTACTCTATGATACCTCACAGGTGATCCCTGTTTCACTGGTTGAATGCAGTTTCCTGGAACCCGCCCTTGGCATGGGTATCAGGTAGTTCTGGGATGCTGTCCACCGGGTAGGATGAGGTTTTGTCTTCCTAGAACTGGATCCACCTTTCCAAAGACAAAGATAAGTTCCCTTGTCCCCACACCCATGCCTTAGACTGCGGAGAACTAGTCTTCTTACAACACAGTTTCTATAGCTTCTCATCTGAATTTTCAACCACAGGCATTTCACCTGAAACCCAGGTGACTGGCTCTGAAGCACAGACACAGGGATACCAGATGGGGGAAATCCCTGCGGCCTCCAGTATGTCCCTTTAACTCATCCTTGGCAACTGGTGCTCAGATGGGGCCCTGGGGAAAGGAAGGAGCAAGACAGGGAGGGAGGACTGGCCAGAAGGGTGGCTTTGAGAGTACCAGAGGAAGCCAGGACTGAACCAGAGGGCCTGAGACCCCAACCTGGCAGGGTTCTTTTCAGGAAAGAAGACCCTGGGCTCTTCTGAGCCAAACACGAGCCTGAGATTTGAAGGTTAGTGACATTCATGTTTGGTGGGCACCGTGTAGCTCCCACTTTGGGCATTTTTCTTGTGTTTCCCAATCTCTCTCTGAAGTACCCAAATTCAAGAGGTAGGTGCTGACACCAGAGAAATGCAGTGATTTTCCTAGGGTCACATGTACAGTCAGGATTCCCGTCTGTACCCCCAAATCCTTTGCTTTCTCCTGGCTCCTCCCTGGTGGTGCAGGCAGTGTAGAAATCAACACACTGAAAGAATATAGGGGCTGTTGACTTTTTTTTTTCTCTACCTGGGACGTGATCTTTTGAGGGGTGGGCAGCCTCTTCTGTGTTGTTGGGTTTGGAGGTGGGCAATCTCTGTGTCAGTTTGGTGGGCTACTCTTCCCCGCAGCTGGCCTTAAGCAGGTGCCTTCCACTCTCAGCCATTCCTCTTCTAGGGATGGAGCCAGCAATGCTGCCAGGAAGATGAGGGGAGTAGGGAAGGAGGTGTTTATAAAGAGGCACTGCAAAGGGATGTCACAGTTTGTTTTCCTTTTCAAAATACCTACAGGGTTTACATTGTTTTCACAATAGATAATTGAATTTGAACACTTGAAGGGCAAAGGGCGCATGCTCAGAGATGGTGTTTGTTGGAGAGAGTGGAAGCTGTTGCTGGGTTGGCTCAGGTCCCATGGGGCTCTTAGCCAGTGGGGACAGATCAGTGGTTTCTGTGGATGAGAGCCCAGCCCCAACTACTGGAAGAACTTGGTCAAGTTCTTTCCTGATTGTTCAAGCCAGGGGTGGGGAGAGGAGTCACACTAGGAGGGATCTTTGGGACC